GGGCGTTGCGCAGCCCTTCGGGGGCAGTGCTGGGCCAAACCGACGACCGCGACCGCGTCGCGGGGCTCGGGCCGCCCGCCCCTCGTCTCCCGCCCCGCCTTCCTCCAGGAGTGGCCCCGGGGCTTTTTCGGAGAGCCTTGTTACGCTTCCGCCGAGTCCGCCCGCTGAGAAAAATCTCCTACATTTACTAGAAACTCACTGGAAATTCACGGTTCCGATTTCGCAAGAGTTATGCACGGATCGCTGTCCCGTGGAGCCTCTCTGGAAATTCTCTAGAAATTCACCCGAAGACATTCGTCTCGGTATGATGGGATGCAACGCAAGCGCGCCAACTGAAGTTTGTTGAGGATTCCAGGGCCAGAATCGCGTGCCCGAGCGCAGGGGGCATTCGCTGCTCCAGGCCCACGCCGCTGGGGCGTGCGACAGGAGGCAGGCGGCGGCGGCCTTGCCACCGAAGTTCGGGGGCGGCAGGACGGAGCAGCTGCCGCCCCTCAAAGCCACTCGGTCGCCTGCGCCTCATTTGTGACGCCGCGATCTGTCGCCGCCGCGCTACAAGAACACTGCCCAGAGAGTGGGCGGCGGGGGCTGATCCTCCTCCTTCCCCATAGCACTCCCTCCGCGCATCCGCCCCGCTGCCCCTCGCTCTTCGCCCCCCATCCACCGCGTGCTATTATGACAAATGCTTGAAGTAAGAGCTGCGCCCCGTTCGCCCGTGATTCTGCCTTGCGGACGTTGCGTCTCCTCAGCGCCATGGTTGGCGCGAGCAACATGCCAAGTGCGAGCGTTCGAGCGCGCTTGGCACTCGAAGCGTCGCTGGCCGTTCCGACGGGCGCTCTCGCCGCGGCGCGCGCCGCGCTCCTGCCCCGCATAAGCTTCGCCGATCCTTCGCGCGCGCTGCTCTCGCTCCCCAGATCTGGCGCAACAGCTCACCGCCTGTCCGCGCATGGTTCCTCGCGCGCAGGTGCGCGGCGTTCGGCGGGGGCGGCTCGCGGCGGGCGGCGGGGGCCGCGCCTCCCGCGCTGGCCTCGGGGCTGGCGCGCGGCGCGCGGCGGGGCGCGGCCAGCGCGGCGCCGCGTTGACGACGGCGATGGCGACGTGGTCGCCGCCACCGTCGTGGATTTCCGTTGATTTTTTGTTGGAAATGTTGAGGCGATCCTATCTCGAAGCACCTTTCTTCGGCTTCGGCCTCCAAGAGCCAGTGGCCGACTCGGACTCTTGACGATCGTCCTGGGACGGAAAGCCGTCGCTGCTATGATCCATCAGTTTCGCCCTCGTGTTTTCGTTGTTTGTGTTGTTTGTATTCATCCTCGCCGTTTTGATCCTTCTGGTTCACCCGCGCGTTCGTTTCTCCTCGACCTCTTTCACGTTTTCCCCTTCTTGCGCGTTGACATCACGATCCGCTGCGTTTTCATGGCGGAATTGCGTCGTTGTGCTTGGTTTCCTTTTTTGTTCAGACGTCGCCCGAGCAGTTTGTGCGGTGTTTGGCCCCATGTCCTGACGTGTCCAGTTTGCGCAGGGGTCGGTCCCCGATTTTATTGCCGTCTCGGCGCACAGCGTGGCATCCAACGCAACTGCGAATGATGGGGCGGATGGGGTACGATGCCAGATGTTGTGCAGGCGCACTTAGTTTGTCTGCCCAATGTCCCCCGCCGCAGGCTCCGATTGTTTCGTTAAAGCAATGTGGGTGGGTCGCGAGGTGGGTCGCGGATGGGTCGCAGGTGGAACGCGGGTGGGTCGCGGGTGGGTCGCAGGCTAGGTCGCAGGTGGGTCGCGGGTGGGTCGCGGGCGGGTCGCGGGGTGGGTCGCGAGTGGGTCGCGGGCCGGGTCGCAGGCCGGGTCGCGGGTGGGTCGCGGGTGGGTCGCGGGCCGGGTCGCAAGTGGGTCGCGGGTGGGTCGCGGGGTGGGTCGTGGGCGGGTCGCGGGCGGGTCGCGGGATGGATCGCGGGCCTTGTCGTGGGGGGGACGACGACAACCGACAACAAACAACAAGCACAACAAGAGCAAAAACAAGAACAACAACAACAACAACAACAACAACAACAACAACAACAACAACAACAACAACAACAACAACAACAACACCACCACCACCAACAACAACAACAACAAGAACAACAACAATACCAGCAACAACAGCAGCAGCAGCACTAACACCAACCACCACAACAACAACCAACCAACAACGACAATGACAACAACAGCAACAACAACAACAACCGCGACAACGACAACGACAACATCAACACAACCAACAACAACAACAACAACACCAACATCAACAACAACACCAATCAACACCACAGCAACAACGGCAGGGCCAACAACAACGGTACGGCACCAACACAAACAACAACATCCATACCAACACAGCAGCAAAAAACAACATCAACAACACTAACAATAGCAGCAGCAACAATAACAACAGCAATAGCAACACCAGCAACAGCAACCACCATAACACCAATTACAAGAGCAACACCAACAACGACAACCGCAACAGCATAATTACACAACAAACAAAAACCACAACAGCAACTGCAACAGCAACAGCAACAAACACAGCAAAAAACGCAACACACACACAACAACCACAACACCACCAACAACAACAATCCGCACCGCATAACCTCACTTCAGCCACGCGTCCAGGGACAGAGAGTGACCGTTCGGCCCCCTCACTATGATATCTCACATGGCTTCATTTTAGACACACCGGCCGCCAGGCGGCCTAAACGAGTCCCAAAAGACACGAAGGCCCTGAGAGGCCACAGTCCTCAATGTTGGCGAGGTTGCGTAGTAGATGTTTTCAAGCACGTGCCAAAGTCGCAACACCAAGACACTCTCTAACCCTGAGCGCGCGACCTCGTGCCCTCACACAGTACTGCACCAGCGGCGCAACTGGCTTTCAAGGAGGCCCCGAGACGGCCCAAGAAGGCCGCGAAACTGCCCACAGGGCCCCGCAAGACGGGTTCAGATGGCGCTATGAGCCGTTCGAGTCCTATGAGCCTTGAGAGGCCTACGATCCCTACGCGCCCCCCTAGAAGCCCCGAGACGCCTCTCCCCAACGTCCTCTGAGGCCCATGAGCTTTACGGGCCCATGAGCCCAAAAAGCTCCTGAGCCTTTCTGAACCCGACGACAGTACGAGCGCTTCGAGCCTTGCGAACACTACGACCCCTGTCAGCGCTACGAGCCCTCAGAGCTCCACTGGCCTCATCTGCCCTATGACCCCTATGAGCCCTCTGCAACACGTACGCTTACCAGCCCAATGCGCCGTACGAGCCTCATGAGCCGTGCGAGCCGCATGAGCCCTACGATCCCTATGCGCCCGATGAGCCCTGTGGGCCCAATGTCGCCTGTGAGCCTGGGAGACGTGTAAGCCTTACGAGCCCTATGAGCCCGATGAACCCGACAAGCCCTGTAGGCTCTACGGTCCTTATGAGCCCTATGAAACCAATGGGCCCGACGAGCCCTATGAGCCCCTATGAGCCCTACAGGCCCAGTGGACCCTATGGGCCCTATGTCGCTTCAGGGCCTCATAAGGTCTACGAGCCCTGTGAGCCCTATAAGCCTCATGGGCTCCACGTCCCGCGCGACCCCTGAGAGCCTCGAGAGCCCTATGAGCCCCGTCGGCCCTACGAGCCTCATGACCCCGACGACCCGTTCTGAACCTTATGAGCTTCCTGGGCCAAGACGTGGAAATGAGTCTGATGAGTCCCATGACCCCCACACACTCTATAGGAAGAGGACGAGGAGGAGGAGGAGGAGGAGGAGGAGGAGGAGGCGGAGGGGGGGGCGGAGGGGGAGGGGGAGGGGAGGGGGAGGAGGGGGGGGAGGAGGAGAGGAGGAGGAGGAGGAGGAGGAGGAGGAGGAGGAGGAGGAGGAGGAGGAGAAGAGGAGGAGGACGAGGAGGAGGAGGAGCAGGAGCAGGAGGAGGAGGAGGAGGAGGAGGAGGAGGAGGAGGAGGAGGAGGAGGAGGAGCCGACGCGCTCTACGGAGCCCAAGGGCCAGCGGCTTCTGTGAGGCCATGGGCCCCGCAAGCCTCCACGCCCAATGTTGCTCATCGGCCCGAGGAGCCCTCTAAACGAAAGTGCGGCTGCGGGCTCCTGGAACCTCATGGTCCCCAGGAACCGCGCTGCCCGAGGTACCCCCCTTCCACACACGCGCTCCGAGCTTTTGGGCCCAAAGGGCGGCGGAAAGCCCTTCAGATCTCTGACCCAGAGAAACCCATGGGTCCTATCAGCCCTGTGTGCCCCACGGGTCCCATTGCCGCACCACGCCGAGGTGCCGGCGACTACCAGTCGCGGTGCGCCTCGCTAGCGCCATGCGTAGGCGTACGCTATGAGCTGGTTGTGTAAGTTGTAAGCTATGTTGCTTAAGCTATGCGGTGTAAGCTATGTGGTGTAAGCTATGTCGTGCAAGTGGGAGCTACGCGGTGCTAGCTCAGCCCACGGGACGCCCACGAGCGCCCACGAGGCGGCACTGGCGGCGTGGCGCAACTTCGGCGGACCCGCCGGCGCACGGGGCGCCCGCGAGCGCCCACGAGGTGGCACTGGGCAACCGCGTGGCGCAACCTCGGCGGACCCACCCAGCGCACAGAGAGCCCACGAGCGCCCTCGAGGTGGCACGGGGCGGCAACGCGGAAATCCTCGGCGGACACGCCCACTTGTTGAAGGAACCAAAGTAAGAACCCCGAGCAGTGCCAGCACTGTCCGGGCAGAGATCAGCACAACGGGAGGGGATGGGTGGGAGGGGTAGGATTTCAGACATGGCCCGAGCGCACCCCCCCTCCCCTCAATCCCCCCCCCTGCCCCCCCCCGTCCCCCCCTGGCCCCCTCCCCCGCCCCTGCTTTCTCCCCTCCCCTCTCTTCGCTCCCCTGCCCTTCCCATCCCTTCCCCCCCCCCCCGCTCTCCTTGCTCCTTCGCCTCCTGGGGGGGGTGGGATGGCGCGGAGGGCAGCAGGAAGCACGAGGAAGGACGCATGGCGCGCGCCTGCGCCCAGGCCAGGCGAGGTGGTGCTGCGACAGGGACCGGCGCCCGCCCCCCCCCCGCCTCGTCGCCGGGGCCCTTCGGCTGGGCGAGGTCCTCAGAGGCGGGTCAGCCCAGGAGGATCCTCAGAGGAGGGGGGATCTCGGAGGAGCTCGGGCGGCGAGAGCTGCAGGCACATCCGCTGCCCCTGGCCACCCCGAGGCCAGTTTTTAGGGCGGGCAGGGCGTTTCGCCTGAGACTGCTCCTCACCACTTGTGACCGAAGCGTAAAACATGGCAACAGTTTCACAGATTGAGGGCGGGTCGTTTTCAAAGTGTGACTCTCGCCTCAGCGCCGCGCACATTCGTTTTAAACACTTGCAAGAGCTTCACGGATTGAGGGCAGGTAGTTTTCAATATGTGGCTCTCGTCTTTGCGCCGCGGACATTCGTTTTCATAATTTGCAAGAGCTTCACGGATTGAGAGGGCGGGTGGTTTTCAACATGTGGTTCTCGCCTTCGCGCCGCGCACATTCGGTTTAAATATGTGTGAGAGCTTCACGGATTGAGGTCGGGTGGCTTTCAAAATGTGGCTCTCGCTCTAGCGCCGCGCAAATTTGGTTTAAACATGTGCAAGAGCTTCACGGATTGTGGGCGAGTCCTTTTCAACATGCTGTTCTCGTCTTGGCGCCGCGCACATTCGTTTCAATAATTTGCAAGAGCTGCACGGATTGAGGGCGGGTGGTTTTCAGCATGTGGTTCTCGCATTCGCGCCGCGCGCATTCGGTTTAAATATATGTGTGACAGCTTCAGCGATTGAGGTCCTTTTCACCATGTGGCTCTCGCCTTCAGCGCCGCGCACATATGGTTTAAACATGTGCATGAGCTTCACGGATTGAGGGCGGGTCCTTTTCAAAATGTGGTTCTCGCCCTAGCGCCGGGCACATTAGTTCCAAACATTTGCAAGAGTTTTACAGATCCCCATGATCAGCGTACCAGAAACGGCGTTTGGGAAGAATTCAGGATTATGCGGGTGCAACAATTGTATTGGTTCGAGGTGTTGAAGTCCCAAAACGGCGTTCTGGCATGATTCCAGATCGTCAGGACGCAGCAGCCAGTTTGATCCGTGGCGTGGACATCCCGAGAACAATGTTTTGGCATGCTTCAAGGTCTTCAAACGGCTTCCGACCAGGCAGTAGGGGCCTGTGAAGAGGGAGCTTGGAGGGAGGGTTAATTCCACATCGTTGATGACTCTTGGGTTTACACTGGTCCTCCTTCCTCCTCCTTCCTCCTCCTCCTCCTCCTCGTCCTCCTCGTCCTCCTCCTGGGCCTGGCCAGAAGCAGCGCGTACGCCCAGGGTGGGTCTGGCCTGGGCCCAGGAGCGGTGTGTGTACGCCCTCCCGGCTTGGCCAGGGAGGCGCGAACACCGCGGGAGCTCTGCCGGCGACAACCACCCATCGGTCGTCAAAAGTAGCTCTTTTGGGAGTCCCAGGTTCCGATCCACTTTAGGCGCCTCCCTGCTTCCGCGATCGAGAGGCTTCGCCCTCTCCGCTCTCTTCTGGGGGGCGTGCGGAAACCCGATCGGTGTTCAACGCCTTCCTGCTTCCGGCTTCCACCCGCCGCTGCCGACCGACGGGTGCAAACGGCTCTGCTGCCCGAGGGCCACCTCGTGTTCGTGGAGGGGCGAGCTGCGACGACGGCAGGTGGCATTCGGGCCCCCCCCCCCTCGTCGCCACAGCCGGGCGCAGCCCCGGAGAATTGGTGCGCCGCTTGGGCCCCAGGAGGGATCCTGGGACCGACTCCGAGCTGCCGCCGTCTCCGCGTCGGCGCCGTCCCAGCGTGCTTACACCATGTGTGCGTCGCCCCCCCAGGGGGCGACGCGCGCACCGAGGGCTCTTACAGTCTCTGCGTCGTGGCGGGCGCTTTCTGGCCAAACCGCTCGGGAACCGATAGAATGACTACAAGATGGGTACCCCAGATTTCGTAATAAAGGGCGGGGGGTCTCATTTCGAGGGGGGTCTCTTCCAGGCTATCTTGGAGGGCCTGGGGGGTCTGGGGACGATGTTTTGGAGGGTTCTCCCACGGGGGAGGTCTGAAATGGCTTCTCTTGGGGGGTCCAGACCCCCTCCCTTCTATTACGAAATCTGGAGTATGCCATATGTCCGGGTCGGGCGCGCGCCTCCCAGGAGGACATCTAGTATGAGCATGTCCCCGTGCGTCCCGAGGTGGGGTCCGAGGGCCGCGCCCCCCCGGGGCCTGGCCCCGGGTCGGGTTCGCCGAGGGGCGTTCTGCGACAGGGGGCGCCCGTCGACCCCCGCCGCGGAGGGAGGCCCAGGCCTGCCTCGATCCTCGACCCCCGATCCTCGACCCTCGACCCTCCTTCTCTCTCGATCCTGCCCTGGCTGCCCCTCTTGGGGGCGTCTCCTGGGGCCCGCCGGGGTGTCCCTGCGGCGCGGGACCTCCCCTCGGGCAGCGGGGGGCCCCCCGCAAGGCCTCGAGGCGCCACTGGGCTCACGGAGCTGTGGACGTCTTCTCCGCAGAGGCCGCGGTGGGGCTCGAGCAGCACTCGCCGAGCGCGTTCCACTACTCGCAGAGTTCGGGGGCGGACAGAAGCCCCAACAGTGACGCGTCGATTGGTGAATTGCCCGTTTTCGGGGCTCGAGAGGGCGCCGTGGCTGTTATTTTCCAGGCTTGCGCCCGCCAGGTTTGGGCCTCAGGTCGTTTTCACTAAACCACGTTTTACTAAAGGGGGGTCTGTCCATCCCCGAAAAGTGCCTACTCGCAAACGTCCGAAATGTACAGGTCTTTCTCTATGTAACGTATCGCAAATCCCCCGCGGTGGATCCAGGCAATTTGCGAGTAGTTGATTTGCGAGTAGTGGAACGCGCCTGTCCACACATGGGGTCGGAGGATCGCGCCACATCGCCGACGCACCGGGAGGCATCCATTGGGAGGCCTCCAGCGGGGCGGCCCAGGAGGGCCAGGAGGGGGGCTCGTGGCCTCGGACAGCCTCGATGGCCCCCCAGACATCCAACGCAGCGAGAAAACCAAGGCGGCGACGTTTTGCAGTTGTCGGCCTCTCGGGGTCATCGCCGGGCTCTGGGGCTGTCGACGAAAACGGCGCAGGGCGCAGGGGCAACGTCAGGGGGCGACGAGCTCAGGGGGGACGCATCGACCCCCGATCGCCCATTGATCGCCGATAGGGGGCCGATAGCCCCATCCCTGCCCAGGAGGAGCGCGGATTCGCCATCGAGGGCCCGTCGCCGGTCTGTCGGCTGTGTATTGCCGATGGCAGCTCGATGCTTCCTCCCCCCGGGCCGGTCCCGCCCTGACGTTCCCCCTCGCAGCCCAGGAATGGCCAGGAGGGGCCATGCCTCCCAAACGGGGTCCGAGTGGACAGGGTCGGAGGCTCGCGCCGCATGGCGGGTGCATCGGCGATGCGGCTCGACGCGGAGCCCGGTTCTCTCCACGCCGACGGCGCCGATGCATCGCCGGTTGGCCGGCGACGCGGCGCGGTCCTCTGACCAGGGTTCGGGGCCTCGGGCAGCCTCCATGGCTTGGGGGGGGGGGGGGGCTTGGGTCCAAACGGCATCCCATGGCCGCGGTTGGCCTCCCGTGGGCTCTCCTCCCGCTGTCGGCGCCTGGTGGCGCAGCGCAAAAGGCGGGACTGCCGCGTGCCGGGTGGAGCGAAGTGCGCAGTGTCTCCGCAGTGCGCGGGTGAAGGGGCGCAGCTTCGTTGTTGCAGGCGCGGGCCCAGGGCACGCTGAGCCTGTGGTTCGGCCGGCCCCCAGCGATTACAGGAAGCCTGGACATGTGCTGGCAACGGAGGAACAGTTGATGTACGATAGCAAGGCGTTGGGCCACATCGACGATGGATACAAAGTGGCAGATGTCCACTGGCATCACGAAGGTGAGCTCAGGCGCGACCCCAATCAGGGGCCTTCTTTCTTCCAAGACAATTCGAAGCAGTTCTGTGCGAAGCGAACACGTGCAACATAGTGCAAAGTTGTTTGGCTTTGCTCGGCATTGCGTTGCGCTGATTGGCATCGCTCAGCATTGCTTGGCAACCCTGGGCAACCCCAGGCAACCCTGGAAAACTCTGCGCAACCCCGGGCGTCCATAGGCAACCGCGGGCAACCTGGGCAGCCCTGAGGAACGCCGGGGGGGGGGAGGGCCCTCCACCCACCGGCTTCTTGCACGAAGGAGTAAGAACCCTCTTTAGGCAGAGCCTGATTGGGGGAAAAGTGTGACGATCCATCTGTCAGCCACGCGCAGAAGGGGGGTGGGGGGAGGGGGGAGGGCTTCTTAGAAGCACCCCTGCTTCTTAGCAGGCGCGGCCCTTGTCTATAGATGTAAGGCCGGCGCTTTCAGAAGCCCCCCCCCCCCCCTCCCTCAACCCCCTTGTGCGCGCCGCCAAATCTGGGCCACGTGTCATCCACCATCCTCCGCCTATGTACGGCGCCACTGGCATGCTGACCGACAGGCGGTGCTAAACATGTGGGCGTTGCGTATTGCCACTTCTAGTGGCAACATGGTACGACGAGACGCCACAGCGTGCAGTGATCGCTTGTAACCAGCCATCACGAGTTGTCACACCAGCTCGTCGAAGGGCTCACACCATATGGTCGATAGAACGTGGTGTGACAACACGCTGCAAAGCATCACCTCCGCACACTCACGGGCACGTAATTACAGCGCATTTACTCGTATGATGTCGAATCGCCCAGGGTCGCGGGACAGTTTCGCGTACTCCTGCAGGTGATGAAGGCCCCCGTGTCTGAAAGAGGTCTTATTTTCGATTGGTTTTCGTCAATGAGAACACACCTCCAGACATCAAAGAAAACATGAGCAGGCGCATGGCCACCGCGCACTTATGGTACACTCGCTCAGGGCCAGTTGATCAGATTCGCCTGCACCTGCAGGTGTTGAAAAGAGGCAGCCTCTGAAGGCGTGTTGGCAAAATGCTCCTCTGCGTCGTTTTGTGCAGGAGGTGGCTCATCTCAGAGACGGATGCCCTCATCACATGTCTGGCACCAGCTATCTGGAAGCTCTCACGGGGTATTGCTGAAGGCGCCTCTGAGAGGCACCGCCGCCTTCAGTATTCCAAGCACTGCATGGGTTTCAGCGTCGTCTGAGCCTCTGCCTTTGTGCCGTCAGCGTGACGCGGGATGCAGGGCCCGAGTCTCTTTCCGAAGCCAGCGGACACGGGGAGACAGAGGGGCGCCGCGTGCAGCCGTCTGTCCAGCCGAGCCCAGTCGCAGAAACAGCCTCCCCGCGCGCGAGTGAGGCTGCTCGGAGAACGTTCCACCTGCCCTTGGGAGAACAGCTCGACACTGCTTCTGACCGTTGGTGGGCGCGAGCTCTCTGACAACAGAGGAAACTCTCGGAACGCGCTCGCCTCCGTGGCTTCCTGCAGCGGACGGGCACGCGCGCGGCAGAGCGCCCTGCGCGAAGGCCTTGCGCAAGGCCGCCCAGCAGGTGCCAGAGGCCGCACCGCAGTGCGCCGTCAGGGCGAGCCGAGGGGAATACCCTCGGGTGGGATTTGCGTGGGGATTTGAAGGAGCAGCGTGGGTCTCGAGGGACCCCTGGTTGGTCACCGCATGCCAGGGAACACTCGTGAGCTCTCCAAGTTGCCGCGGGTGGGATTTACGCCAGAATTCGAAGGAGCAGCGGGGGTCTCGAGGGACCCCCGGTTGGTCACCGCATGCCAGGGAACACTCATGAGCACTCCAAGTTGTCGCGGGAGGTCCGGGGTCTGAAGCACATCCACGTTGAGAAGGGGCCGAAGCGAGACTCTCATCTGCCGATCGGGGTTCAGTCGCTGGATCACCGATCCCGGATCCTTCGACCGCTGGTCCGATCGGCCGGCGGGTCACATTCTTCAGGCAGGGAGTTGCGATTCGAGCTTTGTCGTGGATCGTGCCGGCTCGACCGGCTGGCCCCATCGCGTTTCGAGGTCAGGTCTGGATCAGCCTCCATGAGGGTTTCTGGTGCTGTTCCCAAGCTCCCGTGGGTCGGGCGGGACCAGGCCGAGGATAAGTACGTTCCAGAGCGTTCTGGAGCGCTCTCAGAGCGTTCTGGAACGCTCTGCGAAGGCCGCGGCGCCCGAGACATCTTCCAGAACCGCCAGATCTCAGAGATTGTCGATGTATCCTCACCCGATGCCATCCTCGTCCAGGCTGCGTCTGACCTCGAATAAGAGCTGGCCCAGATCACGCTGGTTGCTTCTCACGCGAGGTTCCCTCCAGCACTTCCCCTGGGCCTCTTCGAAAGGCCAGCCTGCTATAGGCACGCCCGCCGCCCGCCCTCGTGCCGCCCCCTCCTGGGCGTTGGCGGCTGTTCGCTGCTCGCTATCCCGTGGGGGGGCGGGGGGGGGGGGCGGCAGACCGAAGCTCGCCATGGGGGAAGCGGGTCCTGGGGGAAAAGGCCCCTGAGCTTCTTCGCCGTCCTCGGGCCCCCGGGGCCCTCCCCGGGCCCCGGGGCTGTCAGGCAACGACTCGGGAGGAAGCTCGCGCCCAGGGGGCGAAGGCCCCCAGGTGCCCAGGACCCGCTCCTCTCGGGACCGGACCCGCCTTCCCCCGTGCTATAGGAGCGCCAGAGCCGCTGGGCGCCCCCCGGGGCCAGGCCGAGGCGCGGTCCGAGCGAGGCCAGGGCCCCCCTGGTTCCGGCCGCCGCGCTGCCCTGCCAGGCTCCGATCAGATGAGGGAACGCCGAGCCAACTTCAGGCGATCGCAAGCATGGATCCAGGGGACGATTTCTGGGGTATCTTGAAGCAGGCAGAAAAGAGCCTGGGGACGATGTTTGGGTATCTGAAACTGTTCGCCCCGAAATCCTCCTGCAGGGGGACAGGCCCGACCTAAGGGAAGGCTCGGAAGCCCCCCCGGCCTTCTTCAGGCGATCGCAAACATGGATGAAGGGGGCGTGGATCAGCGACGGGCCCCGTTCCCATGGAAATCGCGGATTTCCGCCGCCGAGCGAGGCGGCACCTGCCGCATTTTGGGAGGGGCACCTCCCTGGATCCATGGATGTGGCGACCGCGCGCCAGATCCATGGATCGCTAATCCATGCTTGCGCGCTCCCGATAAACCAGGAGGGGTACGGTCAGGAGCTTTTGGTCAGCGTGTCGCTCCGCTGGTTTTGGCCTGCCACGTTTCGGCGCGAGACTCGAGACGCTGATCGCGTCCCTGCCCTCAAGCATCAACCTCCCGAGCCTTTCCTGGTCTCCCGCCCCACGGAGCGGAGCGACACGCTATCCGCTTGCAGGGCATAGCGTGCCGCCAGGGCCGTCGCCGCGACACGCTAAGCAGAAGTTCCTGACCGTGAGGTTGCCCAGGATTGGTTGGGGGGGTTCTGGGAGGCAGCCCCTAGTCAACCTAGCCTTCATCTCTGCCCTGCCCTCTTTGACGTAGCTTTTGTGTAGTGGCCCCTTCTCCCTGCATTAATCACGGACCTCCTTGCCCGTGCAGTGACCGGATGGCCCAGCGATTGCGGCTGGGGGGCCCCTCCGCCTTTCCACGGCGGCCTGCCGCTTTGCCAAGCGAGCGCACTCGCTTGCCTGGCTGCCTGGTCTGCTCACCCAGTCGCTCCCATCTCATGCTCTTACATCTGTCGCTTGTCATCTACGTTTTTGCTTCTCATGTTCTGCTGGCCCGCGAAGCGGCAGGAAGAGATCGGCTGCAACGCCACCACGCCGCCCCCGCCGCCAGAGTGGGGCCTCCGAGGGGTGATTGCAGCTGTGTGTGCGCGTGAAGAAGCCAGTGGCATCAAGGGCCGTAGGGCCCCCAGCCAGGGGGTCTTCAAGTCATTATTCTTCTTCTTTTTCTCATTATTCTTCGTATTATTCATCTGATGGCTATTAGTATTATTATTTCTCTTCTTATGATGATTATTATTCTGCTTATCATTGTTCTTCTTGTTCTTAGAATTGTTTACATTAGTGCCATCATCGAGTCAGGCAGGCCCAGGATCCGAGTGCAGCGCTCTGGGACGGCCGCGGCGCCCGGTGCAGTCTCCGGAGCCGCCGGCTCTCAGAGATCCTCGACGTATCCCGATCCGATGTTGTCCGGATCCCGAGGCTTCCTTCTGACTCGACTTGGAAATAGTCAAGGCGTCTTAGGTAGTCCAATTGCCTCCAACCTGTGTGGGCCCCGGAAACGGCAGGGCCGTTTTTTCACCGTTTCCAAAAAATGCCCCTTGAACATGGAAGCGGCAAAAAAACAGCGACCGGAAACGGCAAAAAAACGGCAAAACGGAACCGTTTAAAAAACGGCCCTGTCGTTTCAAGGGCCCACTAAGCCTCCAACAAATCCATTCGGTTAGTCTAAGCGGAAGCGGTGGCACGAGAGCAGTTGATCAATACGTATCGTGAGGAGCGCCGCTGTACACGTGGAGGCTTGCTTACAGAATGGGTTGTGGGGCTCACCGTGATCTTGCAGCGGCGCGTCACTGGGAGCGATGAGGGTGAAGGAGACGTCGACAGAAATACGGTGGGGGCGTTGGTTAAGGAATGTGCCCAGGAGGCTGCAGACCCTGAAGAACTCATTATCTGATGAAGGCGGCGGTGATACCCATGGCCGATCCACGATTGGAGTTCGACCGGCTTCCAGACCCTGGACTCCCTATCTAAAGGTTCTTTGTCCAATGCCCCCACCGTAGGAGCAGGGAAAGGAATTCACCGAAGGGCTCCGCAAGGGAAAGCTGGACGTATTTCTCGGCTTGCGAGAGTTTACGCTTCGCTCAGCAGATATCTGATGGCCCGCCCTCGGACTGATCTGAAATCTCATATGCGTGGCTGTGATTCCCGAGGCGGCAGCATCAGCGAATCTCATGCCAAGACGTGGCTTCGTTTCCTGCATACACCACGCCAGACTCAGGTATGTCACATTGTTTTAGTCTTCATGTCTGCCATAAGGCCAGTACGAGGGGACGGAAGTTCTGGATGGGAGGTTGCAGCAGAGCGACGACGCCGTGTCGACAACGTGCGCCGTTTCTTTTTGCACCCAGCTGAACGTTATCATGTATGTTTGTTGAAGGGGGTCGGTGAGTGAATGAGTCTTCGATGCCAGTGGCAAGAGTTTGGAACTCTGAGCAGGGGCTGCATTTTCATTCCCCAGTTCGGCTTTGCCAGAGGGGTCCGGGCTTGTCTGTGAAAGGAGCCTGTGGGTGCGGGGTCCTTGGCTCGCGGCGCTCCTCGGGGTTACCCGAGGTTGACTGGTGTTGCTTGGAGTTGCCCGTGAAATGCCATGGAAAGTCAAGCAACACAGAAACGCAAAGCAATGCCAAGTAACACCAAGCAAAGCCGAGCACTGCCAAACAATACCAAGCAATGCCAAGCAAAGCCAAGCAATTTCGCTTCGCGTCGGTTCACATCGCTTAGAACTGTTTCGAGTTGCCTTGGGAGAAAGAAGGCCCCTAATTGAGGTCGCGCCGCTTGCTCCTTCATAGCGCCAACGAGCTGCCGCTATGCGTTTGCACCCATTGTGGCCCAACGCCCCGCAATTCCAAGCAACGCCACTTAATTCAACGCCAAGCAACTATTCCAAGCAACGCCACGCATTGGCAATCAAGGCAAACCAATGGTGTGCATGACATTGCCCTAAACTGTTTTGCATTACTCTGAAGGAAAGAAGCCCCTCATTCGGGTCGCGTTGGATTCATGTATGTGCTTGCACAGTGCAGCTGCGTTCATAAATGTGTATACCACTAGCAGAGGAAAAGGTCTGATAACGTGGTTTTGAGTTGAAGTAGGTGGAGATGGCGAGGAAGCTGGTTTGATAAAGAGCGCGAAGCGCGAAGTAAGCTGGCTTATGGAACTAGAGAGGGACACGCATGCGTCAAATGTAAGCTTGACATGTGTGAACAAGTGGTCACGACTCATATTCTGAGGTGCATCTCTCTCTATATATATGAATATAAATAGGTGTGTGTGGTATGTGTACACACCTAAGGCAGTGCGCTACCACAAGCTGGACGATCGATCGTAAGAGAAACGAGAAAGATACCAAGAGAAAGCGATGGAGAGACAGAGTGATGGCGAGATGATGATCCGCACAGCATGCGCTCGTGCAGGCACGGACGGGCAATGCAGCTGGCAACATACTTGATGTCGCCATTCGCGGCGACACATCATAATGGCGGCAGCATGCATCTGTTTGCGTTCTGTACTGCAGAGTGCCCTCGAGATGTAGTCGTTCGTGTAGTTTGCCGCCAGGTGCATGAAAACAGATTCACCTAATCTGCATTTGATCTGCTCCGATGCGGCATCAGGGCAGAATACGAGTGCAACACGGGTGAGGATATCCTGACGTGGAATGTCACCAAGCGGGTCCGCGCTCTGTTCCATCATTGTCATCCTGTAGTCGAGTGGTCTGCTCATCTCTGTTCATCTCTTCCAGCGTGTGACCCTGCGGTGATTGGGCAACGTTCGTCGAGATAGCTGTGCGACCATCGTGTGAATTTCGGGGCAGGTCGTCAAATTCAGAAATCTTTCGAGAATGCAACTCTGCACCACAACAAGTTGGAAGACAATGTATTGGTCGTTTGGGCTGCGTCGGCCCGATACCCCGAAGAGCTGGGCAGGCAACCTGCAGAAGCAACGCGTGAATTGTCCTGTGGGAGTCGCGGCAGATCAGGAGCGGAGCAGAGCCCCCAGAGACTTGGCGGCGCGGGCATCTCCGCCGAGCCTCTCCCGTGTCAGCCCTCTTGGGTCATAACGACATGTGTTGGCAGACCATACCCTTGATGTGTTATCTACTTATGCATTACATCTGTTTATATTACATGTGTTTATATCAATATCTACATGTGCACATGCATCTACATATGCATATATATATGTCTATACATTATTGTATGACGTCATTTGCAGATGTGGTTGCTCTCCCTCTCTGTGTTTTTGGTTTCTCTCTGTCTCTCTGTATTCCTCTCTCTCTCTCTCTCCCCATCTCTTCCTTTCTCTTTATCTCCCTCCCCCAGTTCTCTCTCTCTCTCTCTTTCCCTCAGTGTTTGTATGTATTCGCATGTATGAATGCAGGTTGTGTGTCTCTCTCCTTCTCTGTCTCTCTCTCTCTCTCTCTGCGTGTGCATTGCAGCCGATGCGGCGCGAACTTGCGGCACGGGGTTGCCCGCGGCATGACTCGGTTCACACCTCCTTGAAGAGGTCTCGTTTCAGAAGCCTGGCATGCATCGCTTCGCCCCCCGGCATGCTCCTTCGTCGAAAGGATTCCCCGCCAGAGAGCTCGGCGACGCACGCAGCAGCGCGACACGATTACTACGGTCGTCGAAGGAAGAACGTTCGGGGAGCACCCGAGAGTCGGGGGATAGAGGCGGCAGTTGTGGAACTACCTTGCGCCGGGGACGCCCAGCTCAGGGTGCAGAGATTAGCAGGGGCGGCCTCTTGGCTGATGGGCATCAGGAGGGGAAAACACACACACACACACAGACACAATGAATCGTCGATTCCCAGGAACAGATGCGACGATCTGGGAAGTGGGGGGGAAGACGAAAACCTCAAAAATATTGAAACATATGGGGGATCCTGGGATTTGTGTGTATTTATGTGTGTGTGTCCCTGGGCCCCTTCAGAGCATTCGGGTGGTCGGGTGGCACTTACCCTTCGGTCACCTTCACGACATGCTGTCGACTCTTCGCCACTCGAGGGAGATAACCAGAGTAGCCGTTGCTTTCAACCGAAGTCTTGGCATCTCTCTGGAGGTGGCCACACGGTCTCCAGCGGTTGTGCCTCACCGAGAGCCGTAGTCATTCGTTCGATCCAACCATGCTGCGTACACGGATCTGCGGCAAGACGTGCGGCCGCGAAGTTGTTCGATCAGGGTTGCGTTGTGCCTGGTGCGCTACCGCTCCCCATATGAGGGAAGGGGGAACATGTTGAGGGATGGTTGAGCATACTGGCGCCACTGACGCCGACATCTTGTCTCCTAGTGCATGCCGCCTAACCTTGCTGATGCCGGCAGAAGAGTTGGCGCTTGATGAGTTTGATTCACAGGTCGAAGATGGTGACAAGAGCAAGCCGGGGACGACGCGTTCTCATTCGGCTTGTTTGGCGCTCACGTTCCCTGTGCAAACCTCTGATACGCTGCTTGCTCATGAGATTGGTGCGCCCTGCGGTCCATCACTCGGAGAGGGTCGATGGGAGCATCTGGCCCAGGGCATTGGTGGCGGGCTGGCGGCTGGGACGCGGCAGCCAAGGGGCTGGCCAAGGGCTGGCCACAGGGCTGGCCACAGGGCGGGTTTGCTTTCCGCAGAGTACAGCGGATTTCACTCGGCGACTCACCGCCCGCACCCTCAGTCTTCATGCTCTGATGGATATCTGACTTCCGTGTGTTAGGTTTAGTTCGTGATTGTTTCTTGACGCGACAGGGGTCGCGTGATCTATTCGAGTTGACAAGAGGCATCGCTTGTCGTGATGTTCGCAAATTATTTTAGCTCACGGCAAAAGGCTTTCGCTCATCTTCATCTTGCTGCTGCCACAGTCCTGCTATCCTCATCAGTCCTCGTCCTCCTCCCAATCCTCCCCACGGGCTTAGGTCTTCTGCTGCGTGAACCACCAGCGGGGATGCCCGACGACGCCTCCTCCAGTACCGGATCCACCCCTTCCCGACCCAGCGGCGCCGAAAGTGGAGGGGCGCGTTGGGGTTGGCCAGCCGGGAATCCCGCTCGCCCAGAGGAGCCGAAGGCCAAGGATAGGACGAGTCGGCGCCACCGAAGCATACTAATACCATGTGTGGGTCGCCCCCACAGGGGCGACGCGCGCGCCGAGAAAACTTATAGCATATGCTCCGTGGCGGGCGCTTTCTGGCCGCACCGCTTGGGAAGCGATGTGCTGCAATGATTTGACTGTACGTTCGGGTCAGACGCACCCCTCCGAACAGGACACATGGCACTAGTATCCTTGTGCACCCTAAACGATGGGCATCGCAGAAGGAGGGCGAGGGGAGGGAGGTCGTGGCAAGGAGAGGCTCCGTATATCCACGACGTCAGTGGGAAGGGGCCTCAGGTTGAACTCATCATCGCGGGAGGTGTTTGATGTAAGGCGAGGTTTGGATGATGTCCAGGCCCAACCCATGAACGGCACAGCCAGGTTGCATGTCGACAGGCCGCGTGACCATTGTCCTGACTGGTGTTTGATGCCGCTGCTGTCCGCCGCTTTGGCTCCTCCCCTTGTCTTGGCGCCTTCGATGTGTCCCTTCTCCTGTTCATCCTACTCCCTCGTGTTTCGTGTACTGTGGCGTAAGCGGTTGCCCATGTTCAGCGTCCTTGGATGCACATTGTTTCAAGTGCCATCGCTTCCGCCTCTCAGTTTGACCCTGTTGTCACAAGTTTGCAAATCATGTAAGCCATCGCTGGCATGATAGCCTTTCAACGTGGCTGGACGCTTCAATTACATTCGCGTGCATGGCGTTTAAGACCCTTCAGTGGCTTTACGACTGCTTCGCCGAGCTTGTCATCGTGCTGTGTGCGCTCCCCTCCTTCGCTCACACTTGCTCCGTGGAAGGAGCAGCCATTGCAACCGGTTGAGCATCATCGTGCAATCCTGAGGGCCAGTGGGGTCACATTGAGGCAGTCAGGTTTGAGAACTGCACGGCCAACCTTCGAGGAAGCAGCGCCACCTGCTGTAAACCGCCAGCCACGACGTCGCAGCCGTGGCTCGAGCTCGAGAGAATGAATCAGGAGGCGTGGGTGCGCAATGTGTGAGCTGGGTCTCGTCCTTCCTTCGTTCCCTCCTGGAGAGCGGAACCCGCGCGGTCGAGGACACGAGCAGTAGGGCGGTGCCTGCTGCCAACTATTATTTTACATCCCAAGGGCTCCATCCTGCACGCTCGTGCCAGGAGGAGGAGGGAGGGAGGGAGGAGCAGGAGGAGGAGGAGGAGGAGGAGGAGAAGGAGGAGGAGGAGGAGGAGGAGGAGGAGGAGGGAGGAGGGAGGTGGGAGGAAGGGGGGAGGAGGAGGAGGTCACACTGGCAGCAGACCTCGCACGCGCCGCCCCGCGACGGAGGGGCCTCGAGGGGAGGGGTGCAGCAACGACTGCTCCTTCCAGGGGCACCTCTCGACCTGCTCAGGCACCGCCAGCATGCCCGCCTGCTCTGGGCCTGAGGGGACGGGACTGTTTATCGGCGTCACCCCGACGTACTGATACTACTTGGCTCCAACAAAAGTTTCCTTGGAAACTCGCAAGAATGATAATATGTATCTAAACCCGTCGGCATGATGAAAAGTCGCGCGCGCGTGCTCAGCGTTCGCACGCACGCGATCCCAAGACGTCCCATGGCCACAACATGCTTCCAGGAATGCCTCAGGCCACGGACGATAACGCCCAGAGGACCCAGGATGATGCCACCCCAACGCGATCCCGCCATGGATTCTGGACCGTCTCAGGCCGACTCGCAGATGACGAAACACATGAGCGACGCGTGACGCCGAGATGGCCCGATGGCAACATTCCTGATCCAAGCGCACCCAGGGTGGCCTCATAATGACCACGCGATGGTTGCGTGATCCAGACATGACCAGGATATGATCTCAAGATGACCTCAAGACGATCCCAACACGGCAATAATACAACAACTTATGAGCACCATCTTACTTCGAGCCGATCCCAGCATGGTGGGATCCGTGAACGGCCCGGGATTTTGGTCTACCCCATTTTTAATGGGTGGGATTTTGATCGTCCTGAACTAAACTTATAATATTAAAGCGGAATAAGCCAGGCGGGATCCCGCCTGGCCCACGGAGGAAGACATCATTGCTAGGCTTCTACGGGGGTAGGGGGTTCGGAAAGGGCGTCGTTTACTTCCGCTGACATTGGCAAGCCTTCCGGCGGCCTTCCCCCGTCTTCCGCCTCGTTTTACTTCCGTCGACTTCCGCCGGCCAGCGTCGTGATGAAAATTCCAGGAACTTTCATTGGGCCGATGTATGTGTTGGTCGCCCCACCACAGGGGTGACGCGCGCGCCGAGAAATGTCATGGTGCAAGCTCCATGGCGGGCGCTTTCTGGCCACACCGCTCGGGAAACGGTGTACTGCAAAGTGGTCATACTACACATACTCGGGTCGGACCCACGCCCCCAAGGAGGACTGTGTCCTCGTGCGTCCCATGTTCGGGGGCGGCGAGAGGGGGGGGGGGAACTTTTTACGTCGGCGGCTAGGCAGAGTAATTGCGCCGGCAGAAGAGCTGTATACGTGGGGGCACCGTCTGGCGAACTGTGCCGCAGTGCAGGAGAAAGGGGGAGAAGACAGGGAGGGCGGCCGCAGGAGGAGGGGGGGGGGGGGGGGGCAGCAGGAGGCCCTCGACGAAGCCTGCTGGGGGGCCTCCCTTAGGGGCCTCCCGGGAGGGGGGGGGATCCTCGGACGGTGGAGGCCCGATCGCCCATTGATCGCCGAGAGGGGTCCGATAGCCCCCCACCCGCCCAGGAAGGGTGCGGATCCGCTATGGGCAGCCTATCGCCGATCCATCGGCGGTGTATCGCCGATTCCAGGTCGATGCATCTCCCCCTTATGCCTATCCCCCTATCGTTGCCCCTTCTCCTGGGTGCCCTGGGTTCATTGGGTTTCGATGGTCTTGCGGTGGAGCGCGTGACGTTCCCACACCAGAAATCCAGGGACGTGCCGGGGTTTCAGGGTCTCTTGTGGCATGATGCTTGTGGTCGAGCTCGTACGGTATGTCGCCGCGCCGTCTCGCGGCCTCCGTCTTGGGGAGGTTGCCTCGGCCACCAGGGCAAACTGCGCCCCGGACGCAAGGATCGCCGTAGGGTCTGCGACCTATGGGGGAGCTCAAGCGTCACGAGGAGGCTGGCAGAGCTGCCAAGTCGAGGGCACTGAAGGCCGTCCGAGCGCTGCAACGGTTCGGCCCAGGGGCTCCGCGGAGCCCTGGCCAGGGGCTGGATCCGATCCTCGCTCGCCCCAGTTCTTGCGCAGGGCAGGGCCGGAGCCTTGCGCTCCGAGAGGGTCTCGAGGGGAATCGGGTGGTCTACGGGGCGACAGGGAGGGGGAGACGCGGCGAGGGGAGGGGTCAAGCCAGGCGCGCTGTGGCCATGTCTGACGTCCTGTCCCTCCCACCCGTCCCTCCCCGTTGCGTTGAATTTTCTTCTGTATCCGCAGGCCGGGATCTCCCAGATGACCTTGACCCCCAGAATGGCCCCATCGTGCGGTGCGCAATCAGAAGGGCTGGCGTCGCACACGGGGAGAGGAAGACGTAGCGCATGAGCAGAAGAAGGAGCAGGAGGAGGAGCACGACATCGAGGGATGAGGAGGAGCAGCAGCAGCAGCAGCAGCAGGAGCAGCACGAGGCGGAGGAACAGAAGGAGGGCCAGGGGAAGGCGGAGGAGAGAACAGGAGAGGGGGCCAGCAACGACGAGGAACGAATCGGATCCAGAGATGCGGCCCACGCTGAGACGAGAGCCGACGACGGGAGCAAAGCGCCGATCCTGAAATGCGACCGACGCCGAAGCGGCGTGAACAGACATGGTGGGACCTGAACTGGCCCTTTGCCAAACACCCGGAAACTCAAGGACATGACACCCTGCCCCCCCCCAAAAAAGGGTGCCCCCGCACAGAACGATATCAGGGAAGAGTCGGGCGCTTTCTGGCCACACCGCTCGGACCCTGCCCCCCCCCCAAAAAAAAGGGTGCCCCCGCACAGAACGATATCAGGGAAGAGTCGGGCGCTTTCTGGCCACACCGCTCGGGAAACGGTGTACTGCAAAGTGGTCATACTACACATACTCGGGTCGGACCCACGCCCCCAAGAAGGACTGTGTCCTCGTGCGTCCCATGTTCGGGGGCGGCGAGAGGGGGGGGGGGGGGGGAACTTTTTACGTTCGCGGCCAGGCAGAGTAATTGCGCCGGCAGAAGAGCTGTATACGTGGGGGCACCGTCTGGCGAACTGTGCCGCAGTGCAGGAGAAAGGGGGAGAAGACAGGGAGGGCGGCCGCAGGAGGAGGGGGGGGGGTGCGGGGTGCGGGGGGAAGCAGGAGGCCCTCGACGAAGCCTGCTGGGGGCCTCCCTTAGGGGCCTCCCGGGAGGGGGGGGGATCCTCGGACGGTGGAGGCCCGATCGCCGGGGGCCTCCCTTAGGGGCCTCCCGGGGGGTGGGTGGGTCCTCGGACGGTGGAGGCCCGATCGCCCACTGATCGCCGAGAGGGGTCCGATAGCCCCCCACCCGCCCAGGAGGGGTGCGGATCCGCTATGGGCGGCCTGTCGCCGATCCATCGGCGATGCGTCGCCGCTTCCAGGTCGAGGCACCTCCCCCTAAATGCCTATTCCCCCTATCGTTGCCCCTTCTCCTGGGTGCCCTGGGTTCATTGGGTTTCGATGGTCTTGCGGTGGAGCGCGTGACGTTCCCACACCAGAAATCCAGGGACGTGCCGGGGTTTCAGGGTTGGGTCTCTTGTGGCATGATGCTTGTGGTCGAGCTCGTACGGTATGTCGCCGCGCCGTCTCGCGGCCTCCGTCTTGGGGAGGTTGCCTCGGCCACCAGGGCAAACTGCGCCCCGGACGCAAGGATCGCCGTAGGGTCTGCGACCTATGGGGGAGCTCAAGCGTCACGAGGAGGCTGGCAGAGCTGCCAAGTCGAGGGCACTGAAGGCCGTCCGAGCGCTGCAACGGTTCGGCCCAGGGGCTCCGCGGAGCCCTGGCCAGGGGCTGGATCCGATCCTCGCTCGCCCCAGTTCTTGCGCAGGGCAGGGCCGGAGCCTTGCGCTCCGAGAGGGTCTCGAGGGGAATCGGGTGGTCTACGGGGCGACAGGGAGGGGGAGACGCGGCGAGGGGAGGGGTCAAGCCAGGCGCGCTGTGGCCATGTCTGACGTCCTGTCCCTCCCACCCGTCCCTCCCCGTTGCGTTGAATTTTCTTCTGTATCCGCAGGCCGGGATCTCCCAGATGACCTTGACCCCCAGAATGGCCCCATCGTGCGGTGCGCAATCAGAAGGGCTGGCGTCGCACACTGGGAGAGGAAAACGTAGCGCATGAGCAGAAGAAGGAGCAGGAGGAGAAGCACAACATCGAGGGATGAGGAGGAGCAGCAGCAGCAGCAGGGGCAGGACGAGGCGGAGGAACAGAAGGAGGGCCAGGGGAAGGCGGAGGAGAGAACAGGAGAGGGGGCCAGCAACGACGAGGAACGAATCGGATCCAGAGATGCGGCCCACGCTGAGACGAGAGCCGACGACGGGAGCAAAGCGCCGATCCTGAAATGCGACCGACGCCGAAGCGTGAACACACATGGTGGCACCTAAAGTGGCCCTTTGCCAAACACCCGGAAACTCAACGACATGACACCCTGCCTAAACAAAAACATGTGGGAGTAGGGGTGCCCCCGCACAGAACGATATCAGGGAAGAGTCGGGTTGATCTAACAGGGAGTCCAACGACAAGGGGGTGGTGGAGTAGATTTGGTGCAATAGATCTGTGGGGTTGCAATACATTTTGGGCGTGCAATACATTCCAGGGCGCAGATTTATTGCTGAACGTTCGCGTGCAATACATGACTTGCAGCACAATGCAACACAATTGTCCAGCGCAATACATGTGCAGCACAATTGCCCCACATCCATGGCACCATCCCCTTTCAGCTGGACCCCCTTTGCGGCAGCATACCTGTTTTTTTCTCGGCGCTCCGGTGCCACCGCAGGGCTCTTGTAGGGCCGTCCCCCCCGGGACGTCTGACCGGCGCCTCGCCTCGCCTTGCCTCGCCTCGCCCTTTTGGGTCCCCGCCCCCCCCAAAAAAAGGGGAGAGTGGTTCTCAGATGGCGCAGGTGCCGCAGGGGGGCCGAGGAGGGCAACGCCTCGCCCGCGCGCCCTGGAGCTGCCTCTCGGCCTCGGCTCGGGGCGAGCCCTGAACCGTCGGCCGGCCACCTCGGTCAGCCACGTGGGCACTCTCGCTTGGCCCATAACCTTACGTCGGGCATGTCCCTCTGCAGGAGGAATATTAAAACAACAAAAACAATCGGAGGTCGGGGGGTGAGATCGCAGTGGCACGGAGACCCCAAACGGGGGAATCGTTTAGTCTCGTTCGTGTCGTGCGTGCGGGCGAGGCGAAGCTGCGTGGGCGCGCGAGAGGAATAAACCCTCCGTTGCTAGGGCGAAGTCAAGACAAATGATTCTCCCCCGCCCGCCCGTCCAGCGGTGGCTCGCGGTGTCCTGCGCTGTCCCGTGGTGTCCCGTGGTGTCCGCCGCTTCTAGGGCGAAGTCAAGACAAATGATTCTCCCCCGCCCGCCCGTCCAGCAGTGGCTCGCGGTGTCCCGCGGTGTCCCGCGGTGTCCCGTGGTGTTCCGTGGTGTCCCGTGGTGTCCCGTGGTGTCGGCCATTGCTAGGGCGAAGTCAAGACAAATGATTCTCCCCCGCACGCCCGTCCGTATGTCCGTCCGGCGGTGGCTCGCGGTGTCCCGCGGTGTCCCGCGGTGTCCCGTGGTGTCCCGTGGTGTCCCGTGGTGTCCCGTTGAGTGAGATCGATAGTGAGATCGATAGTGAGATCGATCGTGAAATCGATAGTGAGATCGATATTGAGATCGATGTGGTGACCCGAGGTGTCCCGTGGTGTCCCAAAAAGTGAGATCGATAGTGAGATCGATAGTGATATCGACAGGTGTCCCGTGGTGTCCCGTGGTGTCCCGTTGAGTGAGATCGATAGTGAGATCAATACTGAGATCGATACTGGTATCGATGTGGTGCCCCGAGGTGTCCCGTGGTGTCCCGTGGTGTCCCAAAAAGTGAGATCGATAGTGAGATCGATAGTGAGATCGACAGGTGTCCCGTGGTGTCCCGTGGTGTCCCGTTGAGTGAGATCGATATTGAGATCGATAGTGAGAACGATAGTGAGATCGATGTGGTGTCCCGTGGTGTCCCGCGGTGTCCTATGGTGTCCCGTTGAGTGAGATCGATAGTGAGATCGATAGTGAGATCGAGAGGTGTTCTGCGATGTTCCATGGTGTCCCGTGGTGGCCCGTGGTGTCTCGTGGTGTCCCGTTGAGTGAGATCGATAGTGAGATCGACACGTGTCCCGTGGTGTCCCGTGGTCTCCCGTGGTGTCCCGTTGAATGAGATCGATAGTGAGATCAATTGAGTCAGATGTTAGTTCCCCCCCTCTCCCCCCCCACAACCTCCTTCTCACTCGAAGGGTGGCCGTATAGGTATCAATAAATAAGAGGGGGACGATGTTTTGACTCTTTTTGGCTATGTTTGAGCATTTTTGGCGTAATTTTTCATGTGTCGTGCAAAATCTGCCTGCAGGGGGACATGCCCGACCTAACCATAGGCTCCCGCCGCGCTCACCCAATGATTCCACAATCCAGAGCGACCCCGAGCAGGTGGTGCCGTCTGAGCTCAGACAGCAGACAATCCTAAGGTAAATGCTAGACATGTATCGGATGGCCGTCAGCCAGTCCCTTCACCGTGCTTGGGGCGCGCATCTCGGGGGGAGGCTAACACGGGCCAAGGCGCAAACGTGCTTATACAAACGAGATGCCAAGGAGCAAAGCATGGCATCTTCCGTAGCCATTTTGGCTCAAGCCCTGTGTGGCCCAAGAGTACTCGTTCGCTTCTTGGAACCCCAGCGAGCCCAGCATGGACCGCTCGTCGCAGCCCTCGCCTGCCGAGGAGGGCGGGCACCACCGCCTCCTCAGCCCACGAATAGTCACCTCCGAGGACGAGGGGCACGTGTGCCCGCGGGAGAGCCAGCGGTGGCTGGGCCGTCTGCTTCCCGTGCTGATCGGGGCCGCGGTGCTTGCGCTTCTTGCCGTGTACACCCCCCGTCAGTTCCAGACCGAGCTGCGGGAGTCCCTCGTCGTCGCCACGCAGCACGCGCTGGACGGGGGCCCGACCGCTGCGGCAGAGGCCGCGGACGCAGCGCAACACGCGCTCGCGGAGGCCCCCCACGCCGCCGCCGAGGCTGCGAAGGCCGCGGGATACGCGCTCGAGGAAGGCCCCCACACTGTGGCCGAGGCCGCGGCCGCCGCGCAGCAGGCGCTCGTGGAGGCACCCCACGCCGCCGCCGAGGTCGCGGGCGCCGCGCAGCATGCCCTTGCGGAGGGCTCCCGTGCTGTGGCCGATGCAGCCGACGCCGCGCAGCACGCCCTCGCGGAGGAGCACTCGCCGAAGCCCGCGGCCGACGCCGCCGGCGCGGCGCACGTGGGCGGCGGTGGGCCGCATGCGCGCCCGGGCGCCCTAGCGCCGCTGGAGCAGCGCGCCCGCGGCGAGGTGGCCGCGCTGACCGGGGCAGGCGCGGGATCCCCGGGTGGCGAGAGGGAGCGGCACGCGCACTCCAGCGCCGGCGCGGGGCCGGCCAGCAGGAGCAACGCCAGCGCCCAGCAAGAGCAGCGCACGAGCGGCGAGGTGACGGCGCTGACTGTGGCACGCGCGGGCTCCCCAGGCGGCGGGGAGAGGCGGCCCGCGCATTCGAATGCCAGCGAGGGGCAACCGTCGAGGAGTGGGTCCATAAGATCGGATTGGGGCACGCGTCTGACAGCTACAACCACGACCGCGATCACCGTCACCAACACCACCACAGAGCCTTCGACCACGACAGCGCAATGCAACGAGTGCGCGCCCGCAGTGCGTGATCGGCCGGATGTGGTTATCCCAGTCTTTGAGCGCGACCTGTGCAAATTGAAGGTTACTGCAAAGTCAATCGTCGCGCACGACCCGCATGGCACCCTAGGAAAGGTTTTTATCTGCTGGGTCTCAGCAAGATCACGGTGGGATTTTGCGGGCCAGCTGGATGAGATTACGCAGATCCTCGAGCAGCGCGGGGATGTGGAGGTGCTGGAGCTGCAGATGGGCGGGGTGATTGGTTGGCTTGCGCAGCAGTCGGCGAAACTCAAGATTGCCAGCCGTGTCTCGTCGGAGTACTACGTCGTTCTGGACGCCAAGAATACGCTCCTGCGGGATCTTGAGCCTGATACATTTTTTACTCCATGCAACCAAGGTAAAATATTCGGTCGGTACGACATCTGGGACATGCCTTCAGAGCACAAGTCTTGGTTCTGGGCGTCCGCAGGCGTCCTCGGCCAGCAAGCCATGGACTGGGGGAAGTGGCCTGCATCAGTCACCCCAATGGTGTTGCACAAGCAGAGCACCCTGGACATGTTGAGCATGCTCGGCGAGTCCCCAGACTTCTACACCGCCTGCTCCGGAGGTCTGTGCGACAGGTTTCGCCAGAAGGCCACCGAGTTCACGTTGTACTTGGTGTACGCGGCGCGGATCGCGAGTTTCGATTGCATTCACGCCATCGAGGAGCGCCCTTGGGGAAACGAGATTGCAGCGTCCATCTGGCGCAACGGCGGCGAAGGTGCATCCGAGCAGGTCAGGGCCATCGCCGAACACTCCGACCTCAACGGCCGCCCATTATTTTTCGGCTCGCAGGCAGGTGCGCTGGACGGCTTTCAAGGCACGGCGCGCTTCGACATTTTGCAGAACTTGTTCGCTATCTACGAAAACGCAAGTCTGTACGAGTGGGCATCCTGGGACGACATGGCAGACTGCGTTATCGGCCAGTTCGACCAGTAGCATTTCTTGCGGATTTTGTTATGCGGCCCCGACTATGTCGCGGGGCTCGTTGCTGTATGCCACTTATTATGAGCATGCTCCCAGTTGGCGATGCAGAACTGCATCTTGCCTCTCGCGTTGGAGTCCCAGTTTCGGAGAAGGGCCCGCGCGCTGCTGGACGGGAACAGTGCTGTCGATTCGACCGCTGACGCATTTGTTCTACGGGGAAACGGTGTGCCTGCTCGTCGTGGCGCGATGGCATGCGTGTGTCTTGTTCGTGTGCCTCTAAATGTGCTGTTGGTCCCACTTTGGTCCCACATCCCCTGCTACGAACATAAGCAGCGAGGCAAACTACATCCGAACCCGAGTGCACGAAATTACGCCACCAATGTTTTCCATAGTTACGCACGTGCATGTATAGTGCGTCCAGCAAAGTACTGCGACGCTTTTGCTCACTGTAGCCGCTCGATCGCTTGCAGCACCCCGCGCCGCCCGATGGTCACCTTAGATGACCCGCTGGCAGTGCGGCACGTGCGGACCGTGCGCAAGCGCAGTCTCTTTGAAGTGTGCGCGTCGCATTGACAGGAACAAAAAAAAAAAAGGAGCAAAGCATGGCATCTCGAGGACACGCAAACATGGGCTAAGGCGTGGATGAGACGGGCCCCGTTTCCGTACGAGATCGACGCGCTCCGTCGCCAAGCCGGGCGGCACTGGCGCCGTGTCTCGGGGGGGCGCTCTCCCCGAGCCGTGGATCGGGCGCCCACGCGCCTGGTCCACGGATGCGTAAGCCGCGTCAGCTCGTGCCCCGAGCTTCGGGGGCCCGAGGCCCTCTTGTTGGCCTCCTGTGGGCTCTCCTCGGGGTCTTCGGGGCCGCCTTGGGCCCCGGGGCCGCCGCAGCCGCGCCCCACACCGAAGATGCTGCCACGTTGCACTCATGGTCTGCATTGCACATGTTCCTGCGACGTACCCGGCCCATGTGCAGCAAGTGAGCAGACAGAGTGGCCAACATGTTCACGGATGATTGCGTAGCAGCGATTGCGACGTGCTGTGAAAGTTACACGGGGGGCTCGCGCGCTGTACGACTCGTGGGAGGTATGAAAAGCTTGTTCAGCGTGTCGCGCCGCTGGTTCTGGCCCACCGCGCCTCGGCGCGACATGCCAACCACGTCCCGCTTCTCAAGCATCCGCGTCCCGAACTTGTCCTTGCCTTCAGCCCCGCGGAGCGGATCGACACGATATCAGCTCGCAGGGCACAGCGTGTCCCCGAGGCCGCCGCCACGACACGCTAAGCAAAAGTTCACGACCGCAAGTGTGTCAGTAGTGCTAGCGCATTGAATCGGACGCCAAGGCCTCCAAGATGGCCCAAGAGGCCCCCAAGAGAGCCCCAGGACGGGACCCCAGGGATGTTTGTAGGGTGCAGATCGGCATTGTATGTCGCGTTTCTGTCCAATCTATCGCTGGTGTTTCTGTGGAGCTGCCCAGACACCCGAGTGGAGCATTGACGCGGGTTGCAATTGTTGAGTCGCAATGACTTCGTTTGTTTTATCCAGACGGGACTATGGAGCAACCATGCAGCGATCGGGGAGGTTTGGGGTCGGAGCAAGGCTTCCAGGGCCTCGGGGAAGAGTCACACGCCACGCCCGAGGAGCGCGCGGTAGCGCCCTGCAACGCGCAGGAACGCCCGTCGATTGGGCCAGTAACTAAGGCTGTCCGCATTATGGGTTCTTGAGAACCCAAGCGCACCCCATTGGTGCTCGGAGCAAGCGAGGCAAACTTGCGAGCGCTGTCGCATGTTACGGCGTTCGTTACCTGTAGATGCGTTTTGCCCTGAATTGGCTTGGTTTGTGTTGCTTTGCTTTGAAGTGCAGTGCAGTGCAGTGCGTTCCGTTGCATTGCACTGTATTGCGTTCTGTGTTGTCATTGCAGTGTGTTTCGTGTGTTGCAGTGTGCCACCAGTTACTTTAATTCGCGGTGCTCTGCAATGTACGATATAGTTCGGCTTCGTGTTGATGTTCTTTGAGCCGCTTTTGTAAATATGATCGCGGGCTCAGGACCCACGGGCCCCCCCCCCAAATGGGATGGGGGGGAGGAAGAGGAGGAGGAGGAGGAGGAGGAGGAGGAGGAGGAGGAGGAGGAGGGCGATGACGACGACGACGACGACGACGACGACGACGACGACGACGACGACGACGACGACGACTACGACGACGACGACAACGACGACGACGACAACGACGACGACGACAACGACGACGACGTCGACAGCACCACCAGCGGCGGCGGCGACGACGTCGAGCACCGGAGCTGTCAACACGACGCCAATCCCAGCCACACGCCGAACCCACACCGCACCCACAGGGGGGGAGGGAGGGGGGGAGGAGGACCATGGCGTCACCCCGCACACACCCACAGCAACACACCACACCCACACCACATCCACAGGGGGGGGGTAGCCACCACGCCACGCCCACGCCCACAGGGGGGGGGGGGGGCATCGCGCGGGGGGCGGGGGGGGGGGCCCGATGGCATTAGCATTGGGGGCGGGGGGGGGCCAAAACCTCGACCATATATGTGTAGTTTCGCGCATGTGCATTGCATCGTATCGCGTTGATTTCCAGTGAGGGTGGGTCCTCGAAAACCAGTTGGGGGCATCACCAACGGATCGGTAAGGGTCACCCCAAAGAACCAGGCCTCGATGTCAGATTGCCATTCGCTCTCCTTCACAACATGAGTTCGACGCCCTCAGGCAAGAAAGGAGTAGGTCTGGGTTGATGCTCTGGTCAAAGGACCTCAAACTGTTTGTGCAGCAGGGTCTGGCTCGTGAATGCGTAGCCAAGGCAACTGCAGTTTGGGGACTCGTCCCAAACTAACTTAAACATCATTGTTCTCCCGCAGGGGTGCAAACTGGCGAGCGCATGTCGGGCAGATCCCCCATCCGCAGTATTGCGGAATCGTTGGAAGGTGGGGGGGGGATGGAGCGATGGAGGTTGGCCAAGAGAGGAGGGGGGGAGTGCGGGAGAGCAGGCCTGCAGCTGTCCTCTCTTGCTGCGAGGCGGTAGTATCTTCCCTGACCCCTGGACAGGGAAAGATTTGGGCCGGCATGAATACAGGCCTCATGCGGAATCCATGCACATGTAATGCTTTCACTCGGCAGCCAGCGGAGTCTGGCGGCAGTGAGGCGGAGTGGCGAGTGGCAGAACACGTGTGAGATCGCGAACACGAGCTTACGCGTGCATTGGATCCGTAAAGCGTATTCAACGGAGATTAGTCAAGCAGTCAGTTTGCGGAGGCCAGCGCAGTGTAGCAGAAGGCTGGAAAAGTTTGTTAACACCTCTATGGTGGCGACGTCGCTATGCCGTTCGCATTTCTGTCCCAAACGGAAAACCTACCCTGTTGCATTTCTTCGTAACGTTAACAACAAGCCTGATTCAATGGATATGATCGTTCTAGGCCCTATTCGCCATTTGTTTGCGACTAAGACATGCAACCCAACCTTGGCCCGGCCAAAAACAAGAGAAGAGGAGGGGGCATGTAGTACGGTTGACATGTTTCTATGGGGATTATCACTCCTACTCCAGCGTGTATCCTGAGACTGGATGTCTGAACTAACGTGGTGATTCCCCCTTGAACGCATTAGAGTGTCCAGGGTATGGATGGGGTGACTCGGTCAGCCAGTGTCTGCCCGCTTCTTGACATACACAATGTTCAGCCAATACATGCGGGTAGCATCTCGAAGCAACGGGTTGCGAACATGTTCACGCACTCTATTGATTTACGTTGTGTCGGACTTGGGGAGAAATAAGTGTGCGCTTGTTGGGCCGAGGCATCAGGGAATCGAGCACGAACCTTGCCCAGCCTCGTCGCTTCCCCACGTTCTGAGACGTCATCTTAGGATGCAGCTCCTCGGACGTTCAATTCAGGTTCGGCGCTGGTAGATCCGTGGTATTAGACCGGCCTGTTCTGGCATAGTCCCTCTGAATCCGGTTTTTTTTGAGCTGAATATGGGCGACTCTGACTGGATGGGCCTTTTATCGGGCTTGGTAATTTCTAATCGTTCTTGCGAAGACCTCCCAGGAGTTGCCTCCTAAGTCCTCCCGTTTCTGCCAGCCCTCCAGTCACATCGGACAATGCCAGCTTCCCCTCCGAGGCCACATCCAGTGGGCCGCCCGGCAGTGGTACTCCAACACTTCCAACGCTTGCCTCACCGCCTTCGGCCTGCTGCTGCAGCATTGCCCCGCGTGCAACAGCTGTACTATTGCACAGGCGCCTCTTGCTTCGAGGGGGGATTGGAACTCGCAAGATCGCCGAGCGCGTTCCACTACTCGCAAAGTGCCTACTCGCAAACGTCCGAAAAACACAGGTCTGCTGTCATGTGATGTGTCGTAGATCCCCCGCGGGGACTCCAGGCCATTTGCGAGTAGTTACTCTGCGAGTAGTGGAACGCGCTCGTCCACAAGAGGAAACGAGGGAATGAGCAGAAGGACAAAGCCCGCCTGAGAAGAGCATCCGTGACCCACACGGTGCCAGAGACGAGCAAGCCGCGAAGCATGCCGGCAGCCTCCTGGTAACGCCAGGCAGGGTCGCACACCGCCAGTGGCGCCGTGGGCTTGGCGCGCTCCACGAGCAACGGATCGCGGGGCGGCGTGGCGGTGCGAGCTAGGGCTCGCTTCTGCGCGCGTCCGTGCCAGCGGCCTCTTTGAAGCGAGTGCTCTCGCAGCGCAGCCGTCCTCGGATCGAGGGTAGCAGCGAGGCCCATCGGGGGGACGCACGCGAGACGTCCAGGGCCTCCGCGCAACGTGCGGTCAGGAACTCTGGCTCTGCGTGTCGTTCCGCCGGCTCTGGCCCGCCACGCATCGGCACGCCTAAGCGTCAGCGTCCTGAGCCTCTCCCCAGCCTCCCGCCCCGCGAAGCGGGTCGACACGCTGTCCGTTTGCAGGGCATGGCGTGTCGCCAGGGCCCCCGACGCGACACGCGGAGCAAAGGTTCCCGACCAGATGCCTCGACGCGACGCCACCTGAGCAGCACGTAGCGCGGCACCAATGTGCTTGGGCAGTCGCTTGTGCGAGCCAGTTCCTCGCATTTGATCCCGCAGCAGGTCGAGCCCTTCCGTGGACGGTGCTGCGCAGTGGTGGCGGAGCTTACCGTTTCTCTTCCGTTGCGCCCCCGCTCCGCACCAGACGCGGAAAAACAGGCGCATTGCAAGAGGGCTCCGCACACGAGTTACCACTTTGATTCACCAGAGCGAATTGGTACCGTATCGGATTTCGCGTGAATTCGGCCAGAGTCGGGTACGCCTCGGCAGCCTCTGTCTGAGAGGTTCTTCGTGTCCACAGCGCCAAGCGCAGAGGCAGAAATCGCATTGCACGCCCAGCGCTGACCCTTGTTTGCACCATTCGGATCATCCCGCGCGCAGTATTTGTTCACGGCGAGGACACGCTGGCTTCGCTTGCGTTCCTCCTGTTTAAGAAAGGCGAGCACGAAGCTTGCACACACGATAATTTATGCGCCGGATCGTTGGCTAAATTCGTGGTATGGCGCATCGTATAGCTTCACCGCGTCACCGCTTTTCGGACAATGACAACATCATGCACGCGCCAAGACCGTCTTCTGCGCGCTGGTGGATTCGGTGCAGGCTTCGGCAGTCCGGAGAGCCCTGTTGTAGGCAATTCGTCGAAACTAAGCATCACCTGCCCGAAACGCTTGACACAGCCCACCTTGGAGCTCACCCGCAGGTGCACCAACGGCTTCTTCTGCGCCTCGGGAGCCGTTCATGACTTTGGCGCGCACGCCAGCCTTCTCATTGCCCAAAGACAGCGACCTCGACCCGGTGGTGGGACCTCCGCCTCCGCCACGGAGAAGTCTTGCACAGGGGGTTTTTACGAGTGGAGGTGCCAGGACGATGGGGCTGACGACCGTGGCGAGCTTCGACGACGGGCTCTGATGGCCGCTGTTTTCTCTGTCGAGACCTGCGGTGTGGCCCTGGGAGGGCGTCGCCTCGTGCAGCTGCAACCTCCAGGGGCGCACGCGGGCCCTCCGCCCCTCCGCGCGCTCGAGGTCTCCATGCGCAGGGCCTCCGCGCTTCCCCCCCGCGTGAAGGGGCTGCCCGCGCTTCGCTTGGAGGCCAGGGCACTGGCCTCCATTCCTGCTGCTCCTGCGCCATCGAGGAGGAGGAGGAGGAGGAAGAGGAGGCGGAGGAGGAGGAGGAGGAGGAGGAGTAAGAGGAGGAGGAGGAGGAGGAGGAGGAGGAGGGAGGAGGAGGGAGGAGTAGGATGAGGAGGAGGAGGAGGATGAGGACGATAATGAGAAGGATGAGGCGGGCGCGAGCGCTCCGGTGCAGGATTGGCCTCAATAGGTATGACGTGGTTGCAAAGAGTTCTCTGCACCTCAGTGCGTGCCGCATCCACGGTGCGCTCCGGATCGCGATGGTCCAGATGGGGGTCTTGCACCAGCTCGGGAACGCCAGCGCCGATCCACAGAGAGTAACCTTTTCGCCCTCCCACTTGGCCGTACCCTTTGACAGGGCATTCGCTACGGTGCTTCTGCAACTCAACGGCGCTACCCTTGGCCCCCTTGGTAGTCACATCCGCTTCAAGGTGCTTAGCCTGGATGGCTGCCTCTATCCTGCAACGTCAGCTCGCAACTTTTCGAGCTGTTCCTTCTGGCCACCCAGCTCTGTGCGGGGAAGCCGCCCTTTGGGCCGTAGACAGCATTCGGGTGCTTCCGCAGCGCACTCGGCTGTTTCTGTAGCTCCTCGGCTTGGTCGCACATGACGCATACCGACCTCTCCTCCACCACCGCCTTCCATGATTATCCCATTGACGTCTTTCCTATCTCTTTGATCGGGGCTTCAGCCGCCGCCGCCGCAGGTTTAAGCAAGCATGCGTAATTAAGTCTTTGTGTGTAGTCGAACCCGAGCTGACCCTTGAAGGTCGAGAT